TTTAAAAAAATTTTAACCCACCTGCACATCTCACCCATAGTTTTCAAAAAAAATATACCCACCTGCTCATTAGTCTAAAATTCCTTACCCGCCTTTCCGACCACCCATAGGTCTAAAAATTTTTACCCCGCCCATTATTTATTAAAAAAATTTAACTTAAGCCTGCTATAAATAAAATTTAATTATGGTCATTCAATTTTTTAAGCATCTAATAAGGATAAAAAATCTATATTACACCTCTACTATAATTTAGGAAATTACTATAGCATATATTCAATATAAATTATGGATGATTTATTTGATCAAATAAAATATCTATGTAAAAAAAATATATATATATTATTGATATTATATGTAATTATAATGCAAAAATAATAATGAATAAGAATTTTCTGGATTCAAATACGTTCCAGCAATGCTAAATCCTCGTTCAGAAGAAGCACAAGTTGCAGGAAATGCTAATATTTTTCCTGCTAATCTTGATAGCTTTGGCATATCTCTTGTCGCTTCCGCCAAAGTAGTTTTAATATACAAAAAAGTTTATTTTAAGAAAAAACTTTTTATGATACCAAAAAAGGACATTTTAAGAACCATTTTTTATTAATGTTTAATGAAATGATTTTAAATTAATTTTAACCCGCCCACCCATCTGCCATATTCCAAAATTTATATTTTTTAATCAAAGATACTTAAATTTAAACGTTTTTATTTTCATTATATCAATTTTAACAATGTATAAAATTAATCATAATATAAATGCAGTGAGAAATCATTGAATATTATTAACTTAAAATATGAAACCAAAACTATATATTTATTTTTAATTTTTTATTATAATACTAGTTAATACCCCCTCAAGAATGACGGGGTTGAGAGGTAATTATAGATTGTGTAAATGGTACTAAATGTACTTTATTAATATTATGTTATAAAAATATTAAAATTTAGGAGAAAAAAAGATAAATTTGTGAATCACACCTCATAAGATATTCTTAATTTTTGATTCATCTATCATCGAATAAAGAAGAAAAGTATGATAACCAGTCTTTCTTGATGGGCATTTATAACTAAGAGTACCAGATATCCCGTTAGTCAGCATTGCTGAGCCTGGAAAATTGATGAGAATGAGAATTTTTTTTCTCCTTACTTTTATGATAGTTGTTATCTGTTATTTGAAAAAATATCCAATTTATATCTTTATAACCCCCTCCTCCCTTCAGGCCAGGTCCAATTCATTAAAACTTAGTTTAAATGCTATGTTTTGAGTCAAAATATAATTTTAGTTTTTACTTGACACCCATATCAATAATAGTTAAAATACTACTGATAACCTATGCCTAATATTTTATATTGAAGAAATTCCAAGGTCCTAGGCCATAATAATTTTGATAAAATTTCCCCAACCTCAACCAAAGATCATAATATTTTGGTAGTTGAGAACTGAATAAAATATTTAAAAAATCATAATGAATTTAAAAATACAATTAAAATCAGATTTTACGGGCATAGATCAATGTGAGATCCATACTTAATAATAAAAAAATCCCAAACTTCCAAGCTGATAATAATTTAAAAAATTTTTCCCAATCCCAGCCCAATATAATTTATAAAAATATTTTCCAAGCCCAGCCTGACCCATTATAATTTTAAAAATTTTTTCTCAAACCTGGCCAACCGATAATAATTTTAAAATTTTTTTCCCAAGCCTGGAGCTTCCAATAAAAAAAATAAATATTGATATAATTAAATTTCATTATCAAAATATAGTCTCATATATAAGAAGAATTGATTTACAAAAAATAATATCGAAGGAGACTGAGTTAGAAAGATTGCCTATCGAACGTTAAGTTTGTGATTCGAATCTCGTTGATGTATAATAAAAAGTTTCCCTTTTTTTTAAAAATAATAATTTAACATTAGAAAATTATAGTCTCCTTCGATTTATTAAAGTTAACATGATAGTAAAGTTGATAGAAAAAATATAATTAACATTAAGATGAATGGAATTGATAGAAAAAAATAACATTAGGATTATACGAAAACGTTCATTTTGATTACGGCGATTATATATATTAGATTAATCTAGCTAATGCTAATGGTAGTCTTTATAATGATTTTTAAAAAATCAATCTGTAAATTTAGAAATAACATTCCATAATAATTTAATCTATGTCCTTGACATTAATATATAGGGATATGCCAATATTTTTAATCGGATTGTGTTGATTATTTGTCTTTCTAAAATATAGGTTATCGTCCAGTATAAAATTTTCCAATCCAATAAAATGTCTTAATTTTACAAAATTTTCAATTATATAACTTGAAATTAAATTAATAAATATTATAACATTAAAAATAATTATAAAACAAAAAATAGATAAATAATATAATAAAAGAAGCCCAATTAGTTCTTTATAATAATAATGAATTAATAAACATTCTCCCATATTGTAATATGCAAAAAAATATACAATCAGATGTGATATTAGATTTTTTATAAGGCATAGTGGATTGGCTTCCAAAAAGTGTTATCACCCCTAGTATTTGAATATAATTGTTTAAAAGACCTGTTTTCTTAAACAATTCATAATTTTTTTGAATCTCCAAATGAGAAGTGGAGGAAATAATTGTCTTACCATTTTATTCTGAATTAAAATGTTAAATTATTTACTTTTATTTTATTTGAAAAAAATGCTTTTATTAATTGGGTCAGATCTAGTTTGAAATTATATTGAGATGAATAAGAAGAGATTGGTTAGATATTAAATTAGCGAAATTCCATTACCACTTTGGATGGACTAGTTGTTAAATTCGGAATATATTTTGAGATTAGAACATAGCAAAAGAAATATACAATATTATATAAGTCTACCTTTTTATATTTTATTTGTATAATAAATATGTTTGCTCAAAAATGAAATTTATACATTTTATTGTTTATAGAATATATATAGAGACCTGCAGGCTCGACCCAGGTATATGAGCCTTATTATTTTTTAAATATACTCGTGTGGGGCTAGAAAAATTCCGGGCCGTAATTTTATAACCAAATGTTTTATATAAAAATTAAAAATAAAGATAATATATTTCGAAAACATACCTGCCAGGCTTACAAATTTTTTATTTAAAGAAAATACAGGTCAGGTCGAAAAAATATTTTTAAAGAATCCAAGTCATAAAAATGGTATCTTTGCAGGTCTCTTTTTCTTTAAATAAAAAATTTGTAAGCCTTGCCGGGATGTTTTTATCTGGTTCGAGCCTGCAGGTCTCTTATATTTATCATAAAATAATTGAGCTGTATTGGTTCGCAAAAATTGATCCTATATATTTGCATTGTTTCTACTTAATCTTTTCAATATTGATTAGATATTTGATTGACTTTTATATGCTATCTATATTCGAAACAATCAGTCATGTTAAAACCTCAATTTTTAGTGGATATTTAAAAAAGACTCGATTAAGATTTTAGTGAAAATAATATTATATAATCCTCTGGAGTTGGCAAATATAGTTCCAAACCTTTCTGACATCTATGAGCAAGATCTATATACTTACACAATATTATTTTGTGAAAAATCTAAACAAGACCATTTTAAAATATCGACCCAAATCGGAATTTTTTAACAACCCTAAACACAAAAATATTTGAAAAAAACAACGAAAATGATTAGGTGTATTTTGTGTTTTTTTTAATTTTTCCAAAAGTTCGCATATTAATTATGGATTTTGAAGTTATGAATATCTTATACAATAAAAAATGTAAATGTATAGCCGCTTGTGGCGATACGCTTAATTAACATATAATTTATATGTCACCTTTTATTTCAATGATATAAGAAAATTGTCGATATAAAATAAAGGGAGGTGTCGGAATCTTCAAAGACATAAAAAATATCTTATAAAATAAAAAATTCTCATGTTTTAAGCATAGAGACTACAGGCTTGAGTTTTAATCCCTAAAATTAAAAAAATACATGGTATTACAAGAAAATAATTCCAAAGTTTATTATATTTTTTTTCATTTCACTCTAATTCAAAATTTTTAGAATTTTATGAAAAAAAATTGAAACGCAATTGTTATTTTTATAAAAATATAGTACAGCAAAATGCCTACAATATGTAGTCCTAAAGACCTCCAATATAATTTGGCGGAAAACTTCACTTAATAGTGACACCCCCCTCCTGGCATCCTGGTGAATCATAAATACATAATGAGTCCGATTTTCCTAATAATATAAACCTCGAATCAGGATTTTTTCGAAACCTAATGCTATTCTAGAATAATTACCTAGATGAAATTGATATATTCCATTTAATATCTTTGATAATGCAGTGGTAAGGTAATTGAATTATCAATCGGAAAATATCCAAATATTGCATGATGGTAATAATTTAATAAATGTATTTTAAAAATATTGTAGAACATATATAGTTAAAATATTGTAGAACATATATAGTTAGTCTTGTTAAACGGCAAGATTCTAGTTGATTTTTAAAAACGGCCTGATTAAGATTTTTGCCTAAATATTTTATGCTGTAAAACATTTTTACAAATTTTTAACAACTTTATTAAAAAATTGTTAAAATACCTTATTATTGCAAAAATATGTTGATAAATTTTAAAAAATAATCAGTATTATTAAATAGTTATTAAAAGAATTTTTTTTAAAAATATGAATTCTTTTACAATAAATGGTAAATACCAGATGATTAATTTTTTGATATCTAATTTCAAAAAAAATAATGCTGACTAATATAAAACATGAAATAAAACTATAATGACCATGGAGAAAAGTTTAATAGGATTTAATAAGTAAAAATATGAGGAAAAAAACAATAGTCACACAAAAAATTTGTTCATTAAAAAAACAAGTTATTTTGTTATACGTTAAATATAAAGAGACAACGTGTTCGCATATATATAAGCATGTTTAAAAAATCAAAAATGGACAAAATATAAACTGTTCGGTTCGAAGATTTCATTTTCAATTTTCAACATGTTTTTCTTTCAACGTAGCTAAATAACATCAATCCTTTTATTCCCATATGATACGACCGCACCGCAATAAAAATAATTGCATTTAAAAATTTAACAAGTATTCAATATTTAAACAATTATAAGCCATTATTAAACTTATCTATATAAAACGTGTATTTAAATGCAAAATATTAATAAAAACTAATACTTTTTTTTCATAAAGTTAATTATGATTCAAATACATTTACTTAGGCACCCAAAAGGGGGTGTGGTTCTTCCTAGCCTCAAGTTTAAAAATTTATGGTTTTTAAATATTATACATATATGCTATTATACTAAATCACAACTTGCACCCTTTTCCAAAAAATAGGTAATTATGAACATTAATTTTTATCAAAATATATAAATTTTTAAAATTCAACTATAATTCATAAGAAATGTCTAAAATCAAAATTATTTTTTTTAAAATGAAACACCCAAAGGCTTGCAATTGCAATAAGTGTTACTAACAGTGTCTATTAATTTAGAGCTTGGTATTCAGAAGAATTATATGCAACGTTTTTTAATTTGAGCTATATTGAAAAGTTAAAATAATAATCACAAACTAGTTTGCATGTCAAATCATTTCAAATTAATTATTTGTGATTCATTTTAAGTAAATATACCATAACCCTCCAATAAAATTTATAGGAGAGGGGGGGGGGGTTAATCACATCTTAGGAACTTTCCATATCCTCTCCATACACATTTTATTCATAATCCTTAGTATTCATTCTGCACATCTAAATAAATGACTCCTCTCTCAATTATATAATCAGATATGTTATAATTATGCATCTTAGTGTATTAATTCTCTAACCTGATCATGAATTAATATTTGAATGACATATTTATTCTAAATAAATAAAATATATATTATGATAAGATTTTGTATAAAATATTTATAATTTGATCTATGATTATTTATAGTGACAATTGACATCTCTTTATTCTTTTTTTGATAATTTGCTATTGATATTGAATAGCATCTATACTATACTTAAAATAAAATAAATATTAAAAATGCACTTATATTTTTTTATCAGATCAGATTGGGCCAATTATTCCTCTTTTTTTAAATATCAGTTATTGGCCAATATTATTGAATTATCCAAATTAATTTAAAAAATTTTTACCATTGATATTTAATTTTTTAATATTTAAGAAAAAAATATTTATTAAGTTATAAACATACATAGTGATAAATTAAAAAATAAACTAAATATTTTAAAAAATGCCAAAATAATAATAAAATACATTATTTATTTTTATAAGGATGTTTGTGACCTTAAAAATAAATGATTTTAAAAATAATTGTGACAATTTACTTTGATCATGAATAGACTAGATAAGATACTACTTTCTACAAAAAGAATTTCATAACAAAAATGACAACAATTTTACTAAAAAATAAATGATTTATGAATTGATAAATGTAACTAAATAAATGAGCCTAAACTTATAGATTAATTATTTGATATTTGTATATTTTCAAATGATTTATGTTATGGTAAAGTCATTAATTGTGTTATATTTTGTTAAAAAATTCAAATATATTAAATATGTATAATGAACAAAATCAGTTTAGTGATATTAGTTTGGTAATTGGCCAATATCAATACAATATAATATAATATTAACAATATCAGATTAAATTAGCCTCCTAAATGTGGTATCTGTATTAGAGATCTGCAAAGCATAGCCCACTTTAGCATAGTTAAGAATTTTTGGCAAAAGTTGTTTAGCCTGGCCCAAATCTTTTTTTGCCAGGCCCAACCTGTTAAAATTTTTTAAAAAATTTTCCTACCCTGGCCCAATTCATAATAATTTTTTAATTTGCCTAACCCAGTTCATAAAAATTTTATTAATAGTCAGGTTCGGTCTCCTGTTCTATAAAGTTTTCCAAAAGTCTATCCCAGCTGTTATATTTTTTTGTACAAATTTTCTGGTCATCACACTTTTAATTTAATATCTATAATTTTTTTTCCGATGCAAATTGCTCTTATGTCTATTCTCTAAGACTATCTATTTCTACAAGAACTTTTTTATTAAATCTATTAGATTTGTCTCTATAGTTTGCATTTGTAATTGTATCATATATCATATAAATTGTTTAATTTATGACTTTACTATAATATTTTTAGTTAGAAAGCTCTTAAAAGACAAAGAAATGAGCCCATTTGGATAGTATTAAATCAAAATATTAGTTTGAAATTCAAAAAAATATACCAAAATTTTAATGCCCAGGCTGGTCTATTAAAATTTTACAAAAAATCCTTCATTATTTTATGGTTAAATTTTTTGTCAGCTAAACCCCGCACAGTAAAATTTATTTCCGGCCTGGCTTTAAATCTGCAATTGATATATATGTTAGCGTCAATGTGTTATTTTTTTCAACTCTAGACCCCTTTTTTGAGCGCGTTTTTAAAATCTTAAAATCTGATTTTACCGGAAATATATTCTATCTATATCAAACAATTTCTCCTTAAACTTTTGAACTTAATATGATTTACATTAGTTTTTCCATAGATTTTTTATATAAATTATAAATGACATCTACAATTATTTTTAATAAAAAAAAAAGGCCCTCAAAAAATGAAATTAAAATTGGAAAAAAAATAAGACATTCCCCGAAAAAACACATTGACCCAAACATATATTCCAATAAAAATATTTCTATCTAATGTGTTTTGGCTCAGGTTATTAAATTTGACTCAGTTCCAGAGGATCTAGATCCAGTTTCTCTAATAGTGAATTTTTTTAAAAAAAAAGTTTAAACTATAAATGAATCCTCTAAAACTGATCAAACCATGTTCCTGTAAATTTTAAAAATGGTCAATTTCTATAAATTTCGAAAAGAAGGGTTCAAGTTCTGCTTCTTATTCCAAATTCTGTTAAGCCGGATTCGGGACATATCGTTCGTTGACTGAGTATTATAATGTTCTATATCCATTTTTATAAAAAAAGGAGTGCATTTATGATTTCTTGAATTTTCTATAGAAGCTCACAGCTTAGATAATACAAATAATGAATTGTATCTTAAATTATTTTTTAAACATATGTATTGCTAAATATTTATTGATTTATCGAAAGAAAAAAAAGATACATTTGTATACATAGAACATTATAAGACTCGGAAACCAAACCCCCTTTTAAAATTTCCAAGAAGCAGTTCTAGGACAATTGCAAAAAAAATGTCTAAGAAATTTTTCTCGACTCATTTTCAGAGAATATTGTTTTTTTTGATTACCTTAGCAGAGTTCGTTAAGAAACTGAAACCCCGAGAACCGCACCTTAGAAATTTTAAGAACCCAGAAAATTTTTTTTACGCATAATGGAAATCCAGAATTTAAGTTCTAAAGTCTGGTTATATATATTGTCGGCCTAGAATTGGAGTGCTCCACTTGCGCAAAATGAGAAAATTAACATTAAATTAAAATCAAATAATAGGACAAAGCTTATTGATCAATTTTGACAGAGCTATAACTTTGGCAAAAAAATTAATAATTTTTTTTAATCTAGTTTTTATTTATATATATATAATATATATTGGGGAATAAATAAGTTATTACCCACTTCTAAACTCAAAAATTTTGAAAATGTCGAGTGGAAGCACTCCAATTCTTGAACTGACTAAATATGCCGTAAACTTGTTATATTTAAAAAGGTGTGATTTAATTCTATCTTTTTTATATTAGGATTTATTTTGACAAATACCCTCAGGACAAATATAATATGTTGAAGCCTTTAAATTTATACTAAATGTTTAATTAAAAATGATATTTACCTCCAAGTCTTTTATATATATTATTTTTTTTTAAACTTCTTTAATATATGATTATTTTTTTTTTATGTATAAATTATAATGTTTTTTAAAAAAAATATATATTTTAATTTATTTTATTATTTTACCATATTTAGCAAAACCTACTTAATTCGATGCCAACTTCTTTTGACAAATGTCACTAAATAAGGAAGAACACAATTCCCGGAACTTAAAAATGGGTGATAAATCGATTTTGACAAAAGGCCAGGAACTCAGCGTTACTGATCAGCTGATATCTGAATTATTATTGAGTCCAAACAGCCCAGGTTCTATATATTTTTTATCAAATATAAAATCAATTGGCGATATTTTAATCTCAATTCATTACATTTATATATACTTTGTATTATTATTCTTTGATATATATATATCAAAGATGCAGCTGATCGATGCACATCCTAAGCATTGGTATGGTATCAGCTATTTCAAATTTTAACCTATACCAGTGGCTATAATTAAATTTATTCTTCATCAATTAAAAAAAAAATAACGAAAATATCTTGCAAATTTTCTAAACCGCCACTTATATAGTAAGCGCGTTTCTCTCTGTATTTTCATGAGCAAGTAAATAAGGGGTAAAATTTAGGATGACCGCGCGACGCGACTATATGAACTACATCACTATAGATTATAAATTCCACATATTATTTGCTTGCTCCTGAAAATACCCAGCGATGTATCCCGCAATCGCTTTGAGCGATGAACGCCTACTAACAAGGCTTAAATGGAAGAAAGAGGGACAATTTACTTTAGGGTGGCCGCCGAGAAAATTATTTACTCTATTTCTATGACTATCGTAAATGCGAAATTTAATTGAATTTATAAAGGCATATCAAACTACAATATTATGATAATAATTTTTTACATAAGCCATTTACGGATATGGCTTAACTGATATAGTTGTGTATTTACTATATTATTAGCCGCTTAAGCCAATTTTTAGCAGGCGGCTAAAAATATCTAAACCAAGTTTTTAGCCTAAAAGTATCACTATAATCTTGGGGTTTTTCTTATAAGATAGCAGTTCAAATTTTGAAGAAACTAATATAAATTAAAAACGCCTTAATGTTAACGATTTTTTTTTCAATGCCAAAATTTTTTGAAGGGGTTTTCCCCCACTCACTTACGCCTCCCGTGGCTAAGTGCCTGATAATGGGTAATATTTTTGAGGCATCTTATATGCCACATGTTACAGATAAATTGAGGGACAGAAAATTATTAATTTTAGCTTTCCTTAAAAAAATTTTAAATATGGAGGAAAAACAGAATTTTATGGATTTTTATAATTTTTAAAAAATGGGAAAGAAAAATATCGGGAAAATAAATGCCTTGAAAATCATTTTAAAAGAAAATTTTTCAAACACTTCAAAAATTAATCATTTATATCATATATAATATATTATATTATTTTTAATAAACCCATATTTTTAGTGTTGTTAAAAACCACTCGTTTTGAACCGATTTTTAAAAACGGCTAACTCAATATTTTAGCCAGATTGTCTAAACATCGAGATTTCGATAATATATGTCTAGATCTTAGTTCCTTCTATGAGCAAAATTTTCAGGCTTGAGTAATATTTTTCTGGATGAAATATTGAGTTAGCCGTTTTTAAAAATCGATTCAAAACGAGCCATTAACAACACTACATATTTTCCGCCAGGATTGTAGTAGTTATTTTTTTTAAAAAAAAACGATTTTTTTCACCCCCTATAATTAACCGAAGATAAAATTTATCTTCGGTTAAATAATTAATTGAGAGATTTTACTCCTCATGGACACCATGTCCCATTACGACCTATACATATATATATGTATATATATATTTATAAGTGCCCTTTTTTCTAAAAAAAAAATAAACACCAGCTAAATCTTGCCAATCACCGTCAGGCACCGAACCTCAAAGGGATTATTTTTTTTCCAGATTACCTTGGAGAAAAAAAGTTGGCAACAGTAAATCCAAAAATACAGTTCAAATTGAGAGGGGTAGCGATGAAAATGGCTCCAACGAAAACAACGCGGGAAGGATGGGATTGGATTCTAATGCGATTGCGGAGTCTCCTCCTCCCATGATTTCCAAAGATTTTGGAAGGGTAGTGGACTTTGACACTGTGGAAGGTAATATATATAAAAAAAATTATATTTCAAATTTAGAATTTATTTTTTGAAATCTATTTTGTTCCAAAGAAATGTGATGTCATAGAAAGATTTTTTTTTCAAACCTTTGACAATAAAATTATTAAAAATATTGAATATTTAAAATATTAAACTTAAAAAATTCAATTATTTTAAAAAAATTGAATTATAATATTTAAATATTAGTATAAATTTGTATTTTTAAATATCGATTGTTTTTTTTATAAAAATATATATTGATTGACAAATTGGAAAAATATCTGAGGTATTGCTATATACACTACTCAAGGGTTAAAAATAAAAGGTTGAAATAATTTCGCACTAGGAAAATCAATAATTGATAATCGTTAATTTCGGAAAATGATCAATATTCCACAAGGCACACGGTTTATTAATTATTTGGAAGCGATGGAAGAAAATGACTCCTTAATTTATTTACATTTAATTTCTTTTACATATATCTTCTTCTCCGTTTAATGACGATTTCCAGGTTTACCCGGGTAGGCCAGTTTCCCATCTGATTTTTCTTTTCCATTTTTGATGGTCTCAAATACATTGCATGTTCCAAGAGTTTAATAGCTCTGTAAGAATCGCAATCTAACGGATCACCTTTTCCATTATATTCAAATAATTATACTTCTTCGCCAATCCTCGGGAATAGTTCCTTCTATGACAATTAGATTGGCTAAATTCATTTTTAATCCCTAAGTCATCAGAACCTTTAAACATTTCTGATACCACTCAAACCCGATGCCTTCTATTTTTCCATCTTTTTTAATGCTCTCTTAATTTCGTCCTTGCCAAATTTACACCCTGGACCTTCTACCTCTGCACAACTAACATCATTATCCCATTCATTCTCTTCGTTCAAAAGTCCTTCCATGTAGATCTTCCAGGTGTTCTTAATATGACCACTATCAATTACCATTTTTCCTTTTATATTCACATTCTGCCTTTTTTTAGCAGACTCCTGCCGTTGTTTTTCTCACGCTTTCGCTATTAATTTCTTGACATTTTTTTTCGCCACCTTGTAAATATGTTAGCTCTATTTTATTTGCTATTATACCATTCTTTAAAACACCTCCGTTTCTCGTCCACAGCTTTCGCTACCTCCGGATTTAACCACCATGTTTCCATATGTCTAGACTGCCCCTTTGTCCATCCACATACCTCCCCAGTTGTCCTCACCCAGGCTTTCTTTATGGCTTCTTACCTATTATTTATCCCAGATGCTTGTGCCACCTCCGCCTCTCTTATCGCCAAAGGTATATTGACGTCTAACACTCTCATCCTTCAATTTCCAAACCTTCAACCTTGGCACAAACTTTCTTTTAGAGATCCTATCACCTATAAAAGTGAGATCTCCTATAACAAATCTGTGCTGATCAATACATTCCTCCCCCAGTCTCATTTTCACATTTTTTGCTATGCTCCTATCACATCTCTTTACTAACAAATAATCTACCGTACTTATCACTACCCGACTTGTAAGTCATCAGCTTCTCTGATTCTTTCTTAAACATTGTATTACAAACAATCATATTCATAATAACATTACCAAAAACCAAAATTCTCTCCCCTTTTGAATTTCTCATGTCGTAACTAAATCCTCCATGTACTCCCTCATAGTTCTCACTACTCACTCCCACATGTCCGTTAGATCACCACCTAGGATAATCCCCTCTTCATTTGCTAGTCTCGATGTCACCTCCACTAGACTGTCCCAAAATATATCTTTCTCTTCACTTATTCAAATGGGTGGACAACGTAATCGAAGTAAGAAGACTAGCTAATCAGACAATAATTATCAAGATGATTTTTGGTAGAAAACTATGCAATATTATTTCGGCATATGTTCATCGGGAAATACACCAACGCCAGCCTTACCATCATTGCTTTCTTGCCAGAAAAATTTAAACTTTTCACTTGTCCTGCCAATCATTCTTTGCTATTACCTTTCCATCTCGTCTCTAATATGCAACACACATATATATGCCTTCTATGCAGTACATCTACCAATTCTTCGGCTCTTCCCGTCATACTCCCAACACTCCATGTCGCGACCCTTACTCTATCCCCCATAAACTGATTTCTCCACTTATTATCAGGTCGTTTATAGCCGTCATATGTTTTTCACTAATCATGGTTCCACCAGGTTTCCCATCCTTCTATTTACTGTAGGCAGATGAGCAGGCCAATGGGGTAATTTGGGCTGTACCCCATTAATGCCTTGTTGTGATAATTAGGAATTTTAAAGCAAGGTTTTTACAATCGGATACCCTTCCTAACATCAACCCCTTTAGGTTGTTTTTACACCCCGTCGAGGAGTCGGTGATCCTATTCTAGATCCAGACCATAGGGAACCATTTAAACCTCCATTAGCCCCCAAAAGACATTGCCACTCCTACGCCAGGATGAGGCCGAAATTTTTTACTTATATTATTTAATTTATTTATTTTTTTTGTTAATTTTTCATGAATTCCTATAAAAAAAGAATTTTCTTGAAAGTTATCTAAACTTATTCCATTCGATTACTAAAATGATTCCCGATTCCTATAGTGTGTTATATATATATATATATAAAAAAACGTTTAATATAGAAAGACATTCCGATTAGAGGTCTTCAATGAGCGGATTTTTAATCGAAAGGTCCGCCCACTCGTTGTTTTGAAATTTATTTGACCCACCCAGCCGCTCACTTATAATTTTTTTTAAAATAATTTACCCGTCCGCCCATTTATCTATAAAATTTTTTTAACCCTCCCGCCCTCCTAATGTTTAAAAATTGTTTTAATGCCTAGTTTGGCTCTTTTAAATGTATTTTAAATTGAAGTCTGTTCTGCAAAAATTTACCCGCCCACGCTTGCCCATTACTTTAAAAGTTTATTCAACCCTCCCGCCACCCGCCCAATGTTGAAAATATTTTTAAAAAAAACCGGCCATGCCCATTCAAAGTTTTGGCGGGCATAGTCCGGAAGGAGAAAAACCCGTCCAATCCAGACCTCTAATTCCTATATCATTCGAAAAGTAGCGAATTTTTTTTTATCAAACATAATGCTCAATCACTATATATATACAAAACTTATAAGTTCATCCATCCATTTTGGTTCGTTTTGCCATATGTAGATTCATTTCGTCATTTCATTTGACCTTATATCAAATGGGATTTTATTTTTCATAATTTATTGATTTTAATTTCAGTTTTCTTTAAAAAAATGTAAATTCAAAAAAATTTTATGATTATCATTTTTTTTTTCAATCGATATCAATATAGTTGTGCTAATTACAATATATATAAATATATGAATAAGATAAATTGTCGTGCTAGTATTATACTGGTATATGTGGTCTATGTCAAAATTAATTTTTTTTGATAAATCAGTTCTTCAGAACAATCTCATATGAAAAAAATCATATAAAATTAATTTTTATTCACAATTTATCTTGTTCCATGCCATAATAATTTGCATAAAAATTTAGTATTATAATGTTTCATATTCTTTAAACCAATAAGAAATTAAAATTAGTCATGTGATTTAATAAAGCGCCCATTTTATGGCTAATATAAATTAAGTGGAGACCAGAGGGTAATAAAATAAATTGTTTGTATAATTCTAATGAATGATATTTTAAAATTAAAATCCTATATTAATAAATAATGAATTAGTCTATAATCTAGTGTGTTGTTAAACGGCTCGTTTTGGGCCGATTTTTAAAAACGGCTAACTCAATATTTCACTCAGTATAATATTACGCAAACCTGAAGATTTTGCTTGCAGAAGGAACAAAGGTTTGGACATCTATTGGCGAAATCTCATGGTTTAGGCAATATCTTTCTGGCTAAAATATTGGAGTAAGCCGTTTTTTTAAATCACTTAAAACTAGTCGTTTAAAAACACTAGTATTATGACTCTAGTTAAATGATTATTTGATTACTACAACTTTAAATAATGAATTTTAGAAAATATTTTAATAAGTAATTAATAATCAATTATTCATATTTTTGAATTAACTCCTCTTTGTTTTTTTTGTTTTTTATTTGTTTTTTATATAGTTTTTTAAAAAATAAATAATGTATAGTTTTTTTATAAATAAATAGATTAATAATAATAAAAAAACATATTTAAAAACAAATTTATTTATTGTTTTTAGAGGAAGAAAAAATAACAAAGTTTGTTTTATTTTTTTATAATGACTGTTAATACTAATTTGCATCTTTTTATGTCAGCCATATCCATCCATATGACAAGACCCAAATTAATAATTGACATTTATTTTTGATTATCTTTATGACATGTGCCAAAAACAACTAAAACATATAAGCGTTATCTTGCTATTTCCTCGTTCAAATAACTTAATTAATATTATTGTTTTTAACAAATTTTTTTGGTCGTAAAATAAAAAAGGTAGAGCATAATATATTATATATTATTTATTTTTTTAAACAATAAAAAATATTGATAGCATAAATCATAGTAACAAAATTTAAAATTTTTAAATAGATTAAATAAAAAAAATTTTTTTTTTGTTGTTTGTTTTATATTTCGATTTTTCTAACTATTTAGATCCGGCATTGGGCACTGTTTCTACCAAATCATTTCAAGATAATTATGAAGCAGCTATCCAATCATTCGATTCTTCTACCCCGCATTCCTTAAAGTAATATAAAAATAAGATGAAAATAAATTAGAGAAAAGAAAGAAGGTAAGAAAGAAAGAAAGAAAGAAAGAAAGAAAAAAGCTTCAAATAAAAATGAAAGAAGGTCCGAACTTTTTAATTTGTAAATCATTAGCTCTTCTATTCTTATTTTCTTCTCTTTTTTTTTATCTGAAAGTTATTTATAAACTATTCCTCTTGACCGCATTTTAAAGGAAAATGATCTGCCAACTCTTTCGTTCATAAAATAATATGTATATATAAGAAAAATATAGGGTTCAATAAAAATCATGATTTTTTTGAAATAGTATCGCGATTTTTTTAAAAATAGTATCCGTAATCAATTAGTAACGGCTCGATTTTATATTTTTTGAAAAATGACTAAATCCAAATATTTTTTCCTCGAAATTTCGCCAATAAGGCTCTCCAAACCTTTCTGCCATCTCAAAAAGGAAAAAAAAATCTCAAAGGTTGAGCCATTTATTCTTAGCTAAAATCTTGAGTTAGCCGACGAGATCTAGTCGTTTAAGTAGCAATGTTGACTCGCCCATTTATAACAATAAATCTTGGTAACATAAATTCTTGAATATATAAATTTTAAATGTTGATGACTGCTTGTAACGTTGTTATGGCTCAATTTGAAGCCGATTAACTCACTATTTTAGCCAGAGAAACCTTATTGCCTATGCTTCGAGATTTCATCTTCAGGCATGCTTAATATTTTTATGGATAAAATAATGTGTTAGCCGTTTTAAAAATAGACTCGATTAGTGTATATCGAAATATTTGAAATAAACAGACTTAGAGATTCTTTTTTTTTATAAAAATCGTAATTTTTTAAACAATTATTATTTTTTATGTTCATTTTTTTTTTCATCTACATATTCTTTTTTGCAATTTGTTAATCAATTTTTTTTATCGCGAGTTTGATTATTATCCAGCTCCAGGCGCGCACGCAGGAATTTGGTCTGGGGGGGGGGGGGGGGGGTAATAAATTTTTTTGAGAAATATTATTGTTTTTTAAAAATATCAAGCATAAATTTATTAGGACTAATAACTATTCCTAATACACAATTTTAAATTAATGTGAATTATAAAAAAATTATATGTAAAGAATCACTTAAATGACCCAAAATAGAAATTTGAATTTTTTGAGCCTTTACACAAAAAGTTTCTTAGGAATAATTGTATTTTGTATGTTATATATTTACAATGTAAAATCCAATCTTCGTTGGAATTGAGCTAATTTTTCAATTATCTCATCCTTGCTTGTCGTCAAATGCCTATGAATATTCAAAAAATCCAAACCTTTCAATCTACTTTTACATGTTGTACTTCTTGGTATGTTTTTCAGAGACCTGCAGGCCCGGCTCCTGGGCCGGACAATATTTTAATTTTTTTAATTATACCAAGGCTGGGCCCAAAATTTTTTTTAAAAAACACCAGGGCCGGACCTAAATTTTTTTAAAAAAACACCCAAGCCGGGCTGTATTTTTTAAAACAGCCTATATTTGAAATCGTTATTATTAGCTATAAAAATCAAAAATAAATATAATTTATTTTTTAAAAAATCCAGGCCGGGCTTGAAAATTTTATTTTAAAAAAAGCCGGGCCGAGCCTGTAAATTTTAAAAAAAAGCCGAGCGGCCTAAAAAATTTTTTAAAAATAGCGTAAAAAATCTTTAAAAAAAATCCGGGTCGTGCCCTGCAAATGGTACTTCTGCAGGCCTCTGTTATTCTTCTTAAAAAAGAGAGTGTTCTCTCATTAGTTTACTAATGGGAAGAGTTTATAAACCCTTTTAATACATTGGGAATTTAATCTAAAATGTGTTTGAAATAATGCAGAGCATCCATAGAATTTTTTGGGACTATATCAACTATAGTTAATCTTATAAACAAAGTTATTCAGCTAGTAAGGCATCATAAGATACTTTAACATCTTCATAATAAAAATCTAACAAATATTTTTTTTTCTATCACCATCTGAAAAAGGTTGGGAAGGCTTTTGTGGAAGTAATATTTGCAGATGTAAGTGCTGCATGATATATTAAAAATTCATTTATTTGGGTTATAAATGTATCTGCATCTAAGATAAACTCTTCTACTGATCTTATATTAATGTTTTAACGATGAGCTTGCCTTGCTGTCGAGGGAGACAAATATTAAACACGTATAGCTCTGCTTTTGACTCAACAATAAAATATAAAATATGAAATTCTTCATCAACATTAGCCCTAATTTCCTTGAGTTCTGATAAAATGCTCTCCGCTATTCTCATCTTCTTAATCAAATCATTGTCATGTTTTTGAAAAGTAATACTTAAAATAGTTGTATAATTAAATAATACATTCTAATGAGAAATAAAATTTGGAATAAGCATTGAATCCAATAATTTTCTTGCTTCTGAAGAAATATTTCTTTCAGGCCATTGTAATATTTCAGTAATAGCAAATAATTGGCTCTTCTAACTCCTTAATAGCTGTTAGTGCTTGATGGAAGAGGCTCTATCTCGTTGGACAAGGTTGCAATTTCTTTTTCCCTGTTGGACCAGAAGTTTCAGAAATAATTATTATTTGACTAGAAATTTGAAAATGGTAGATAAATATTACGCCACTAAAAATTTGAAAATAATAACTAAATATTACACCGGAAAACTTGAAATCGAAATTAATTGATAAAATAACTTATGAATGTGATAATAAATGTAATATAATATATATTTAATATGAGATACGAATAAATATTAACAAATATAAATTAATATAAACAATAATATTTTTGAAAAATATATCCGGCATCTGCATTTTTTGGCTTTGTGGGGGGGGATTTGTCCCCCTGTCCCCCCCCCGCTGCGTACGCCAATGTCCAGCTCATAAGGAATCGCCGTTAAAACAGCTGATTTTATTTAACATTTCTATTTCGTATATTTACCAATTCACACATGGCCCTTCACATTAATTTGTATTAAAAAACGAATATATATTAATCGTAACCCTAGCCCATATCTCTCAAGTCTTTTTACAACCCCAAATCTCTCTTACCCGCTAACCTAACCTCGCTTAATTGTTTGATTTTTAGATAATATCTCATCCAATTAAAATTTCCTTTAGCTGAGCATTCCTTTAGTTGAGCTATTATCTTCTTCCTTTTTTTGATTAAATATTAAAATTTTTATTTTCTACTTTTAATTATCTCTGTATTTAGCGCTACCGAAATCACAGCTGATTCTTCAAGGCGATAATGATTTTTGAAATATACGTCGTGAACATATGTTTTTCAAATTTTATCTTAGCGTTGAAACGTTTCGCTCCATATTTATTAATTAGTACCTATTCTGTAAATAACGCAGCGTTGAATGTCCCACCGCTATAGCAAAACGCTTTTACTATAAATGAGGCCTTAAATTATTATATTTGCGTTTATTTTTGAATACTTCACGTTTTTTGCTAAAAAAATAACATAATATAAACATTATATTAAAATTTAAAAAGCGATAAAATATAATGAAATATCATACCTGCCAAAATTAAAATAAGGCTAAAGCTATAAGGCAGTATTTATAGTAAACGCGTTGTGTTCAAGCGTTATCGTTATTTAACGCAGATTTGAAAAACATATGTTGCAACGTATTTTAACATTATTAACGGTTGAAACCAGCTGTGATTTTGATAGCCTTAAATAACGCAACTCATGAACATAACGGTTTTATTATAAATGAGGCATAACAGAGCTTTCGAGCGCATAATATTTGAAAGATATTAAGTCAAAAAATCGAGCATCGTGAAATATCATTTTCCAAAAATTTGGATATTTTTGAGTGTTTGTAAGCATTGAACATTTATCGTCTGCTTAGTAGTTGTATTTAGTTTTTGAAGAATCCCCATATTTAACTAGTAATAAGTAATATATATTTAATACTCTTTATAATTTATAGCTCTTTTGTTATTATGACTACTTAACGCTCAATTTATTAAACGCGGAAACGTTCAGATATGGCCTTAGCCTATCCTAACTCTCTCTTTTACTTAACATCCTAAAAGTTGATTCCAGAAGAAATAATTGGGTCCCATCGGGGATCGAATTTAGGTCGAAATAGCTTTCTGAAGTTCAGGGCCACTCTGAGCCACAGCTGATTAAGAATAATTTATGATGTTATAGAATATTTTATTAAAATACATTTAAAAAAACTATGCATCGTCATTCATTTTGTTCTGCGGTGCCTCTCAGAGTCCTTAATAGGGGGATTGGTCGAAAACTATATGGTAATTTTTCTCTCTGAATATACATTTTTTTTCATTCTATCCCCAATACCAATAGTAATGACGAATATATGACAACCGAACAACCCAACATGCTTCGCGACTCTGGACAAATTCGAAAAAGAAAATATCACGTGACAAAAGGGCTAAAAAAATCCAAAACTACCGATTTGACCAATCAGGAGTCATTACATTTTCCGATGTCACGTTTGGGGACTTTAGATCAAGTAGACGATATTTCGCCTCCCGTGACGCTTTTGAGTCATAATCGCAAGGAGTCGTCCGATCGTTTTAAAAGTGCACATAATATTAATCTTAAGGAACCAAGATTTAAAAGAATTTAAGTGAGAGAAGTTAGGAGAAAGAGAAGGAAACACTTCGGAATAATGGGGGAAAAATTTAGAATAATATATAGTAACCGCGAAGATGGTTAAGCGATGTGACGATAAAACGCGATTCAATTTTACGCCAATTTTGCGGTTACATCAATCGGAAACCCTGTCAGGAAAGGGGAAAGGGCGAGAATAATGGAGTCAAAAATAGCCGTTATTTTTTTTGTGGAGATCAAATCGTTTTCCGGTTTAATTTCCCCTTTTTTTTCCTCCCCAAAAAAATTTATATGCCTTTTTCTCTTTTTATTTTTTGTAATTAAGAATCTGGTGGTGCTCATAGCGTAAATATGCCCGCCGTAAGTAGGAGGCGTATCAGTAGCCAGCAATATTCCTTGACCAACCCTTTGAATCTTTCCCTCGTGAATCCTTCGAATGCTCCTCATCCCGGGCAATATGATATGACGCCTAGTGCTGGACCTCGCAAGGTTAGGTTTTTTTTTAGACTTTTATTTTCTAACAAATCCGACAATTCGCTTAAAACATAATTATATGGTTTTTATTTTGAAGCTTTTCGTCCAACTCGATGAGTATTGCGCGGACGAGTACGGGCTGACGGGTCGCCATTATTGGAAAGAGATCGCCCGATGGATCAAATACGAGGAGGACCTGGAGGAAAGTTCTAGTCGGTGGGGGAGGCCTCACGTGCCGATACTTTCGTTCCACGGGCTTGCTGAGCTCAGGAAGAGGCTCGAAATCGGTTTTTCTATATAATAATTTAATAATATGGTTTCCTTAAAAACGGAATTTGAAACATGGATTAAAAAAAAAACTGATTCTAGTTCTGGTCCAGAATATTTATTTTTTTTAAAAAAAAGTGTTTAAATTTATGGTTCCGCGAGGATTTCTAATTCCCGCTCCTTCCAAATTATTTAAATGAATCGCTCATAAAATGGGTGCGGTTTCTGTTATACGGATTCGAATCCTGAATTTTAGATTTGTACCCCATCCAGTTTTTAAAAATGTCACTAATAATTACTAGACAATAATCATAGAGGGCAAAAAACGTATAAAGTAAAGAATCTTCTTAAGAAAAATCGACCCCCTTCACCAAAATGGTTCCCATTTTTAAATTTTTTTTTTAGATTTCTCTTCATTCAGAGATGTATCGATACTCGCGATATTCTTCAGGATCGGTATCGGCCGATATTTTTAATTTTTAACAGATACAAATGTTCGATATTCCTTTGTAATTAACATTCATAAATTTAAATATTTTTTTTAGCCTTAAAAAAAATCTAATTCATTTAAGACAAGGCACCGTTAATTTTAATTTAATGTAATTTCTGCGTTACCTACCAACTATTTATTCATACCAATCATAGCTACAGCTCTGACTTCTTTTGAAACTCTGCCCTAGCCTTCTTCAAAGTATTCAGGACATGGCATTACATCCGATAATCTAAAACGAACGTTTTTTTGTTAAGAACTTTGGTAAAGAATCGATCAATATTTCATAAGTATCCAACAATACTTTAATTTCTTATCAATATCGAAATCCCAATAATAATGTCACATAATTCAATTTTTTTTAAAACAAAGATAGTTAATAGTAATATATTATCTTTTCGAAAATATATTGAAAAACGTCCATATCTGTCAATTACAAATCAACATATACAAATGACTTATACCACCTCTTAATATTTTATAAAAATTATTTCGGAATATTTCGTAATAAAATTCATGATTAAAATTTCGAAAATGTATTTTAAATCATACTTTATTAATTAAACAATTATCATTTACACCATATAAGTTTCACCAATTGATTATAAATGTATTTTAAAAGGAAGAATATTGATGAATCTTATACTTGCTTTTATTATTTTTTTTAAATATTCTATATTATTTATTGTATCGTCGATACCGTGTTAGTATCTGCTTTAAAAGGTACCTCAGAAATACTCCCCCTAAGTATGTAGGTTTAGCTTTGGTATATAAAACCTCAAGCAATTTTATATAGTGTTGTTAAACGCCTCGTTTTGAGCCTATTCCTACACATTTCGCTAACAGATGTTCAAACCTTTGTTCCTTCTACAAACAAAATCTTTAGGCTACGTAATAATATTCTAGATGAAATATTGAGTTAGCCGTTTTTTAAAAATCGGCTCAAAACAAGCCGTTTAACAACACTAATTTTCAGAGTTGTTAAAGGATCTAGATATAAAAATGTGGTATCTGCATCTGTATCTAGATAGATTTTTGATTAAATAATCTGTATCTAGATATTATTTTAGACGTTGTATCTGTATCTAGATCCATTTAAAAAGTATCCGTTAACAACTCTGCTAATTTTATAGGCCTAGTTCTTTTAAACCTGATCATAGAAAAGGGTGAATTACTAACTAGCGTTGTTAAGCTGCCCCCCCCCCAATTTAGGTCGATTTTTAAAAACAGCCCAATTAGGGTTTTAGCCTAAATAATACTATGTAACCCTGGAGATTTTGCTTAGAGTCGGGATAAATGGACTTTCTACAGTATAATGAATGAGGGAAACTACTATTAAATCTAAAGAAAAAAAAATGTATTTCTAATAAAAGGGAGCATAATGCTGGACCTGGAAGAAACGGATTTTATGGATATCATGCGACGGATTTGCCGCGAATTAAGGGACGATGGTCACATACGAACCGAGGAAATGGAGCCTTTGCTCAATTGTTTGACCAAACCTCACAAGTTTTTTTTTTCATGCTATATTTATATTTTTATTATATATATATATATTTTGACATATATATAACATATCTCTCTCTTTAAATTATTCTCCCTATAGAGTTGTCATTGCTTGTTGTCACTGTTTGTTTCATGTCACTACTTATAAAAAAAAAATACGAAATTCATACAATGGTAAGAAATAATCTTTAAAAATGAATCGGTAACCCTTTTTCTCTTGTTGGTCTTGATTAATCTTTACTTCTCTTCCCTCTTTGAAAAAAAAATTCTTTTGTAGTATAATTTCCTATCTCGCACGTTCTTTTCCTTATCTGATCAATATGTCTTCTTATTGTTTTATATCCCGTGTTGATTCTGTATAATAATTCACTTTCTTTTTTTATAACAATACCTTCATTGTGGTATCTTTTACCGGAGACTGGTTTTAGTAAAATATTCATAATGAGTATGATAGGAAATATGGAGAGATGGAATACAGATTTAGACACAGCACTTGAAAGATTTTTTATTTATTTATCGTAATACTCTAAACAGCGCAACAGACGTGGATAGTATCAAGTAAACTATTATTTTCACATGACACGAGAATAAAATGGGACTTACTGAAACCAGTGATCGACAATACAATAATGATAAAAAAACGGCTAATAGGGTAATTAACAAAGGAGATGAAACCATTTTTTGAAAATAAATGGGATAAAGGGTATTGTTGTGGAAAAAGAAAGTGAATCCATTATATAGAATCAACAGATCATATAAGAACAAGAACGTGCTAGATAGGATATAATACTACAAACAACGAACATCTAAGGATTCTGATCTAGAGAATGAGATCTGTCGTGAATATTTGAGTGATCTATGTGCACGCTTAAAAAATCCAAAATACTTTTGTTATAACCGTGTGGATTATTTTTAGAATAATAAATTGTAAACTCAAAAATACAAAAAAAAATTTTAAAAAAATTCCACTTTAAATAATGATTCAGACCAACGAAATGCATAACGAATCAATATTTTATGTCGCAGAAACTGTACAGAGGTCGAAAATTTACTCCCAAAAAACTTTTCCTACTTTCAAGCCGGATCTTAATTGTTTTTTTTTGACAATTTATACCAGGATTTAATTTTTCATTTCGTTACCCACAGGTTTTAGCCCTGAATCGAAATTAAAATTTATAAAATATATTTATCCCTTGCACCATGTTCCCGGTTACTAGATAATTTTCGATACTTATTTGCTTTTTTAGTTACAGGGGTTAAAAAATTTTTTTTTTTGGAACTAGGACAGCCCTATTTAGATTTTAAGTAAGTGGGTGGTAGTCTTGTCAAAAAACTGAGCCTAAAGATTTTGCTCATATCTGTCAGGAATGCTTGGCCACCTATTTCCCAAATAGCGATGCTTACGTTAATACCCAAATCGGGCTTTTTAACAACATTTACTGGGTGGTTGGTTAATCATCATATTTCGTAGAATTTTATTATACGTTTTTTTTTGCGGATATTTAATCGTTATTACTAAAATGTCTATTTAGTAATTATACGTTCGACCTAAACTGGCCTAAATCCTTTTTCCTTTCTTTAAAAATTAGTGATGTTAAATCACCTAACTTTGACTAACTCCAATATGGCGTGGTCAAGGTTTGACTTAAACGTCCTAAGTTTAGCCTCAACTTAATGATAGAGACTATTTTTTTAGCTGGCCAAAGTTAGATGGTTTAAGAACACTACTAAAAAAAAATAAAAGATAAATCCTTAGATATTTAATATTTGATATTTACAAAATAACTCCATCTTTTTTCAAATATATTTATGTCGCAGACACTACAATAAGAAGAAATCGATTCTGCCGGACCCTAAGAGATCTTTGCAATACATTTCCTCCAAAATATCGATGTCAAAGTTTGTCACCCCTTTTTTTTTTTAAAATAATTTTAAAAATTTATATCTTCTTTTACAAGGTACTCGAAACGAGAGAATTTTTTCTACTTCTTCTTCGTTCCTCTTTCTCTTAGTCGAGTGGCAGTGTTTACTTAAACGAGAGAGGGAGTAGAGCCGGCTTGCCTCCTAATTGAGGTGCGGGTGGGGGGGGGAGGGGGTTGGTAAATATCTCACGTAAACACTGCCCAAATGGTTACCCATACCTTTCTTATTTGTTATGCTTAAAAGTATTTAGTTCCCTATACTTTCATATTCAAGACGTCCCTTAAAAGCTAGAAAGTTTTATGAATAACCTTTAAAATCCCATGACCACGATGACTCCATATTTTTTTTTTGATTAATTAATAATATCCTAAGCTATAATTAGATGAATGAATGAAATACAAATTCCAAAACTATTTTTATATTTTTTAAACCATAAAGTTTTATTATACTTAATTAATTTAAAAAAAAACCGGTTTAAACAATGATTTTCATTTTTTCCTGGAATAAAAAATAAACAATCTTTTACTATCAATTAATAAACATTATTTCCACGAGTATAAAAATGTGGAAAGACAACTAATGCCCCTAAGCGCATTATTTCACCCCCTTTCCCCATTCCTTAATGATTAAATCTGGAATTTTCCCAATTTGTCTTGAGGTTCTAGTTCTCCTTCTTTCCTTGGGAGGGGGGGGGATTAAGTGTTTCTAAGACAATTCCTTCGAATTCATAATTGTAAAGAGACAACGCAATCAAATTCCTTTTAATAATTTTAAAATAAAGGGCTTACAACACTAAAAATAAAATATCTAATAGAATTACTACGCGAAACGAAACTAAGGAAAGGGAATATTTAGGGCGCGAAAACGCATCCTTCATAGGTCCGAACACTGATCGCGATCATAATCCAGATGTGAATCACCCCGAGACATCCGTCAATAATTTGACCCGTCAACCCGTTTCTATCAAATTTTCGAGTAAAAAAAAATTCTTTTTTTTTTGTGCAAGAAAATATAATTTTATAATTTTGAAAATCAAGTTTAAAGATATTATTACAGAATCACCACTCTACCAAGAATATTTATTTAAAATCAAATCTTGTTTTTAACTCATAGACTAAAAACTATATAAAAGAATTGTTCTAATATAAATGCGAAATTGTGCACATTTTTTAAAGTAATATTCGATTTTTGGTTTGCTATCTTTTGGCATTATGCCTCGACCTCTGGAATGTTCCAGTATGGCTTCATTCAACCTAAAAAAAAATGTATTGATATATATATATATATATATATAAAATGTTGCAATTGAAAGTTTATATATTTTGATTTAGGAACTTTATTATCTATTACATATCTGATTTTACCTGAAATATATTCCGACATGTTTGGAATATCTACCTTATGAATTTCAGACAATTTTTGCCGTTAACTTTTGAGTCATTTATAATTTATGGAAAAACTAATATAAATTATGTTGAATTCAAAAGTTCTTGACAGAAATTATCTGAAATTCTTAAGGTGGGTATTCCGAACATAATGAAATGTTCTTCCGGTAAAATCAAAATTTTTAAATTTAAAAAAAAAACGCGCTCAAAAAATGATTTAAAGTTGTAAAAATAACACATTGACCCTAACATATACACGGTTTCGCAGTTGATATATATTTTTTTAAAAATATATGCGTCTCATAGAACCTTCCTTTCCCCGAAAAAATTATATAAACTTTGATGTATGGCAAGAGGTCTTATCCCTTTTTTTTATAAAATACAAAATTATTAGATAGAAAAAAGTTCTTCTTCGAAAAAATTCATAAGCGCCAGATAAAGTATTTTAATAAATCAGCTGATTATTGATTATGTCGTTTCTAAGTTCCTTACGAATTTCGATGATCACTTAATTATGCCACTTGAATAATATAATTTTATGCTCCGTCTCCCATTTTTTAAAAAAAAATCTTCTGCCTAGAACCGTTATCGTCATCAATCCCTCCTGGTTCGTCTCAACCCACTTCTTCCTCACTCATTTCCCGGCTTCTTAATTCCTTTCAAGATCGCCACCCTAGATGGTTTTCCTCCGATGCGCAGAGCAAGCAAAGCTCGCGCGATAATGTTCCTTATCCCGATTATCCCCGTGAATCCGCCATAGTCATGATCGGATTGGCGCGCTTTCTGGCCTCCACCAATAACAACCAAATTACGGCTTTCGTTAGACTCAAAAATCCCGTGCTTTTCCCGACAGGAATTTTGGAAAACTCGCAAATTCCCGTCCGATTTCTTTTTGTCATTTTAGGTTCCTTTATTTATTCACAATGATATAACGCCAAAATGACGTAATGGTGATAATATAATAGAAACGTAAAAAACGCGCAAGAGAAGAGAATCTTTCTTTCTTTCTTTCTTTCTTTCTTTTTTTCTTTCCCAATATTTTGGCCAAAAAATATTACGCTAACTTCGAGATTTCGTTGATAGATGTCCAAACCTTTCTGCTAATTTATGAGCAAAATCACCATCCAGACTTGCGTAATATTTTTTGGGATAAAATATCGGGTTATCCGTTTTTAAAAACCGAAATCGAACCGTTTGACAACACTAATTTGGGATACTATCTAATTCCAAATCGCCTAAAAAAATGAGCGAAACGGGAACTATTTTTTATATTTTATGCCGCAAATTGGCCTCTTTTTTTAAAACGAATGGCTAGCATTTCTGTTTTCTTCAAATATTACAAAGGGGGGATGGAAGAGATCTTTAAAAAAAATTTTTGTAAATAAAATTAATTTTTCAATTATGTTTTTCGATTGATTTTGCTTTCTTGTGATTGGTGTTCGTAGGTAACCCCATTTTGTATATTCTCTTTTGATTGGCTTCTAGTGAGAGGAAGTAATCGAAGGAGAGGATATCGTTAAGTTGAAATATCAAAAATAAATTGAGATGATTGACATTTAACATGATTTTTCTTTGTGTTTATCGTTTAAAATTAAAATATGGATATTTCCATTGTTTAAATATAAGTTTTAAAAAAAAACATAAATAAAAATATCAAAGTCACTTCTGCTAAAATATTCGCACTATTTTTATTATTATTTTAAACAAGGTGGGGGACCTGTCAAGGTTTTCGGTGATCCCTCCAAAATAAAGAATGACCCGGAAGTAGCTATAACCGCCAATCCAGATGCCCAGCTCACGAAAGATGACGATGCCTTATATTATAGAGAGCTCGGAAGGGCTTTTGCTACGCTGTTGTCGAACGAGGTTTAAATAACGAACCAAAATTATTGGGGATTCTCTGTAGTTAGAACTCATCCAGAGATGCCCGCAGAAATTTTATTAAAAAAAAACAGAAGGATGGGAGAGAGGTGGGGGGAAGGCAGTCAAGAATAATGATTAGAAAGTTAAAAGTAAATTGACTCAGTTTGAACAAAAAAACACATTTTGGAGCTGTTCTAATAATTGAGCGAAAATTACTTTCCCCAAGAAAAAAAGGAAGAAAATATGGCTATAATCTACTTTTGTTTTAACTTCTTAAAGTGGATAATTCGTAAAAAGTAAGCAAATATTAAAATTAGTCTATTTTAAGAATTAATATAAACAAAAACAAACGTAAAGGTATTTAACGAGATAGCTTACCGGGCGCGGTCTTGCAAGGATTTAACCTCTGGCTTCAATAGCTTCCTCAAGAATTCTATAGTACTTCCGCCCGGCGAATTCGGCCGTTCAACTCTCATGCCCATAACCCACCTTTATAAAGAACAACTTAACCGTAAAAGGGTTCACAAGGATCAAATGGAATGGGCCAAAAATAAAGGATTGAGTAATGTGCCCCTCTCTTTTTTTTGATATGTGGACTATCTTACCCTCCGCGAATTCGCGCTAAATATGAATGAGGGGTTAGATATGTCCCAAATATATAACTATGTTAATTACGTATAATATACTTAACCTAGAAGACGATTCGTTTATTAAAATGCTAATTTATTTTTTCACGGGACACCAAAAATGGCTCGTCACCATCTGATTCGTATAGTATAATAAATGTCATTCTTGACTACTTTTTCTTTGATTGGATTCCCGTAAGCTAAATGATAAAAAAATAATATTTTTAAACCTGTCCTAAACCGATTTACATGGGAAAAAATGTTTTTTTATCTGGTATTGCCAATGTGCTTCTTTCCGCTTCTCAAGAATAATTAGAATTCCAAACTTTACCAAATAAGAATAATATTTTATTCAAGAAAGAAAAATTAAATACTGAAAATTATCAAATTCGTCCCTTTCTATAGACAATTCTTCATAAATAATATTGATAAAATAATTTCAGATACAAATAATTCATAATAAATGGAAATAATATTATATAACTACAAACAAAATAGAAAAATGTCTTTAAACAAAGATGGATTACTCACGTGATTACAATAACTTTAACCAATCATAAACAATAACGGTATAAATGGCGCTATTTAATGGATAATTTATTAATATTAAAAAGGATCAACAAGCGTTTAGATAGAATTAATATTTGATAATTGTAATAATAAATGTAAAATACCCGAAATTTAATACTGCGTATAAAAATATCACTGTAATATGCGCGCCAAATAAAACCTATGAAAAATAATCCCAATTTCTCAACTCGTGGGTCAGCGGGTTGGGATTGGCGAACTACCGACTATCTTATTCTAACGAATATAAGAATAATATTTAAAGTTTAATGAGAAGAAAGAGGATCTGTTTAGGCTATTTTCTCTGAATATTTATGCGTCGGAACTGAGGCGGAAAAAGGCACCTCAAGAGTGAGTTACCTAAGCAGCCTAGTTGGTTTATATTGCGGATGGATTTATTTTAACTAGTGCTGTAAACATTTCTAAAAAAATCGAACGCGTTCAACGTTCATTGACAAAACGCGTTCAAGTTCAAGTTCATGTTCAAAAAAAAGGAACGCGTTCACGTTCATAAAATCGTTCAAAATATTATGATAAATTTTTTTAAATTTAATTTAATATAAATAAACTTATATTTTTTAATACAATATATTTTAGCCATGTTAAAAATAATATAGTTTTATTTTGAGAGTATAATTATAAATAAAATATAATATAATATAGCGAATAAAAAGATATTTTTATTTATAAAAAAATTTTCTTATTAAATTTTAATAACAATTGTATTCAAAATATTTATCTGATAGACAGGAACACTTGGCAGTTAATACGGCATTAGCTATATTAAAAACGCGCTCTACAGGGGCAGATGAGGGGATTGTGGTATTATGCTTAATAAACAGCTCTTTTAACATGGAGAATTAATTAAAAACATATTGTTTTGTTATTTGCAAAAAATTGAGATAAGTTATCCTCCTCCAATCCATTCTCTACTCTCGTCAAAAAAAGGGTATCTCGAAATTTATAGTTCTCTAGGGTTTTCAAAGCATTTTTTTCAATAATGCTATAACTATAAGTTTATTTTTAATAGGTTCTTTCTGTGGAAGTTTTATCCATGGCCATTGAAGTTTGAATGCTGGATGTATAATTGCAGAAAGAACATATTGATCCTTATATATATGTTTAAATCTTTAAAATAATAAAATATATGTAATTAATTGAGAGTGATAGGTTTAATACCTTTTATTAATCCCATTTAATACGGCGTCTATCAATGGTTGACCATATTTGAGGCCACTAATTTTTTTAATTTTAAAATAACTATCGTTATTGTTGGGGTCAAATATCCCAAATGCATTATTTCTTCAAATTTAATGATTTAACTTAGTTATATCATATAAAATCAAATAATTAATATTAAAATCAAATGTCGTTTTAAATTGGAACCTAAAGATTTTGACCATGGTCACATTTTACACTTGGTAAGCATTGGATTAGTTCCTTCAATATAGTATGTTAATGTAAAACATTTATCATATTTGGCCATAGTAATGATAATTCATCTGATTTTAGATTTTCAGAATCAGATGATGAAGACTAAATAATTATATCCATGCTTATGCTAATCTATTAAATTAAAATATAAACAATAATATTCAAATTAATAAACACTATGTGTTAAAAAAATTGAAATGTGAAAAGGAAATACACAGCAGGTTAAAAAATATAAATAATACTTTTTTTAAAAAAATTCGGAAATATTAAATTTTTCAAATAAATAAAAATATCTTTAAAATTGAACGAACGTTAAATTCGAACGCGTTCGTCATAAAAAAGGAACGCGTTCAAGTTCAAAGTTCGTCAAAAATAAAAGGAACGCCGTTCATCATTTTTTTCAAAAACTAACTCGTTCACGAACGCCTTCATTTTGAACGCGTTCGTTTACAACACTGATTTTAACTCTTTCATACCAAAAAATAAATAAAATAAATATGAGAGACAAATAAAATTTTACATATAAATAATTAAATCATTACGTCATTATTCTATTTTATGGTAATTAGGCAAAAAGATGGAGGGTAAAATGCCTTCTAAGGACGACGATTCCCTGCCTTCATGCCGAGGCCTTTGTTCTCCGCCTTTCGCCGGGTTGATCGCCGATTATAAACGCAAGTTGCCCTTTTATGCCAGCGATTTCACCAGCGCTTTCAAGCTTCAATGCGTCTCGACCTTCCTATTCATTTACTTTGCGTGCCTGTCCCCGTGTATCACATTCGGTGGCATATTAAGTAAACCCCATTTCTTATTAAAAATCCTTATCAGTTTGACGTATAATTTACGATTTTATTTTCTCTCCTTCCTGTCATTTTCTTCCATTTTTTTTCCCCGTCGCAAACATAAATCGGCCTTTTCAATAATCTTTTTTATTTCGTAACTTATTTTTGTGTCTAATGATTGACGTTCGTAGATACAGGCTAACCTAAGCATTTTATTTTTTTTTTATATTTGTAAACCTTCCTTATCTTGGCTTTGGTTGAAAATATATTATTTATTTTCTTCTTTTTATAGGATTTAAAAAACTTAATACAAAATGTCTTCGATTCTTTTGTGGCCCGATTAAGATTTTAGTCCAAATGAATAATATAATGTAAGCCCTCGAAGATGCCCAAACCTTTCCGCTTCGGGCATGATACCCAGGTTTTACGAAATATTATTTTGGCTAAAATCTTAAAATGGGCCGTTAAAGCTGCGCTAAATTTGATATACCGCCACACCCCACTCAACATCTAATTTTTTATTATCTTTCGCTAGTTTAATATTAAAAAATAATAATTTTTTTTTATATAAAATGATTGTTCTGCTCTTACATTTACATTTATATCAACCGGAACTAAATTAAATTAAAAAAAATAGAAAGTAAACTTAGAATAAAAAAGAAACTAGAAGAGAAGAGAAGAGAAGAGAAGAGAAGAGAAGAGAAGAGAAGAGAAGAGAAGAGAAGAGAAGAGAAGAGAAGAGAAGAAAGAAAGAAAAAATAAAGAAAGAAAGAAAGAAAGTAAATATTTGATATAATTTTAATATAAAATCAATTTACATATATATATATATATGTGAATTAGTGTCAATGTGTTTCTTCCGGCAATGTGTTATTTTTACAACTTTAAATCATTTTTTTAAGCGTGTTTTTTTTAAAAAAAATTCAAAAATCGGATTATACCGGAATTATATTCTATCATGTTTGGAATACCTATCTTATGAATTGTAAACAATTTTGCTGTAAACCTTTGAGTCATTCATAATTTAATATAAATTATATTGAGTCTAAAGGTTCGTGGGAAAATTGTCTGCATAGGGCAGGTATTCCAAACATGACGGCACACATTTCCGGTAAAATCATTTAAATTTTTAAAAACGCGCTCAAAAAATGATTTAGAAAATGAGTTGTTAAAATTGTGGTAAGCCAGTTAACCAGGTCATATGCTTTGATTGTGGAAAGTTCAGACATATAGCCCCTTATTGTCCAGGTAAGCAAGAGAGATTAAGATGTACGGGTTGGTCGGTTTGGGCATAATAAGGAGGGGTGTAATACGAGCAATTATAACAACAAAAGCGGTTTTCCGCAGAGAGAGGTGGGTCCGAATGCTTCAAATGTGAGTGCCATTGAGCGGGAGAAAATGGAAGGGTTCGTGCAGTTAATGTCAAAGAAACGGGAGAGAAAAAATGGAATGTTTTCGATGCCGAAAAAAACACATTGATGCTAGCATATATATAAATTATCTCACTCAGTTTTTTGGTTTCCATTTCATTGGCTTATTTTTCCGCCTTTAAAGATTCATATACAATTTCGATCTTTTTTTAGTCAGATGGGCTTTGCTCTGCCCTGTCTTGTTTTATTTCTTATTTTAGATTCTAAACAACTGTTCTGAATACTGAATTTTAGATTTTAAATAAATAAAGAATGGGAATTTAAAAATACCATTTTTACCTTATGTCAAAATCTATGTTTTTTTATAAAGGAAAGCTCTATATTAAATTAAATTAAAGTATTTCGCTGGAAAATTATTCTATCTCACATGACTTTACTTTTTAAAAATTTATATTTTAAATTTACCAAAAAAATCAAATATATTTATAATTAATGAATTAGGTGGTTAGAGAGCATCGTAATAAAATCCAACAAATAAATACAAGAGTTTTGTCGGTAAATTATTTTCCTCGAAGATCTGAAAATACTACCAAGAATTATTTTGAGAATATATTTACCCGAGTTATTAAATCGAGTAAAGTTTAAAAAAACGATAATGAATTTTATTTGTAAATCTTTTGGTATAATATATACATATATATAATTATCCAATTTAACATCTAATAATATGCAATTTGATTAACCTCGATAATATAATATTACATGTCGGAAAGTTATATTATAATATAATATACAAATAAGGTCCTTTTAAAATATGTAACGTGACCTTTTAAAATATATCTTATACAATAATAAATATTCAAATGTAACACGAGTTAAAATTCATTTAAGAAAAAAAGGGTTGGTGGTTATTTAGCCGAATTAGGGTATCATATTCTTCATTTTATTTTTATTTGTTGCGATGAATCGCAAAAAAAATGAAGGTACCAATACCGAAAATTGGATGGGCGTGTCCGAGATGATGATGGCCACGGCTCTGGGAGGCTGCATTTTTGCCCTATTCAGCGGACAGCCGCTGACCATTATCGGTGCCACCGGGCCTATATTAATCTTCGAAAACAGTTTATACAAGGTTATTTATAATTTCTCGATTTGTTATTTTTTTGTTAATGAATGAGAGGAGGGGGGGGGGAGTATAAGATGAATGATTTTACTGGGATCTGATAAGTTTGGTTAACGGCTAAATGTCTGCTATATCGGCTCAATCTTAAGGTGCCTCCAGAGAAAATCCGTTAAAAATTTGGGCTGCTATCTTTTTTTAAGAAAAAAAAACCTCGAGGCCCTAGTGATCAACTATATTTTTATACATTTAATATTTTTTTAAGGTAATTTAAAAATAAATAAGTAAGTTATAATAAAATTTATATGAAAGCAATGACATATAATGATACCTAGACTGACGATGGATTCGTAATAATGCATTTGTAAGCGTCGTTGAATGCAAATCAGCTGGACCCGCCATTTTGGTAACCGATATAGTAAATATTCTCATGTTAAAAACTATAAATCGATAACTTGCTTCCTTATTATCTCGATGATGCAGGCAATTCTTTGATAAAAGTTGAGATAGGAATAAATTGGCCTCTCGTTTATGATTTTTAATAATGATATGGGTAATCAAAATGGCGTCCCCAGCTGTTTTCATTGATGCACATTTTTAATGAACGTATCGTCAGTCTAGGTATTATTATATGTCATTGTATGTAAAATAATAATTATTTTTAACCTTATATTTACAATACCATAATTCCGATTTAGTTTAGCATTCAAAATCGCCTGAACTACTTATCTTTTCGCGTATGGGTGGCGATGTGGGTTTTCATTATAACTCTCATTTTTTTGGCGGTCCAAGGCGGCTACTTGATCAAATACCTCACCCGATTTATACAGGAAATATTTTCGATCATCATCTCATTCATTTACATCTACGAAACTTTCACCAATTTGATCATGGTAATATATATTTTTTTTGTACAAACATTCCTCGTGAACATCTCCCCTACCCCTTTCCCTCACCCCTTCAGTTAATTTACATTTATTTAAATAATATACATATAATTAAATCCTTTTACCATTTTTCTAAGAACCATCATCTCATAAATGATCTCTAGTTTACACAATGTTATTATTGAGTGAAAATAATAGATTATATGAAAATAAACTAAGGCCGTATCCTGGCTGTGTCTTATTTTTAAAAAGAAATCTGTTTACCCGTCTACATAGTTTCCTCTAAACAGAGTAAAAGGGAAGAGGCTATGAAATAAGGACATAATTGAAACATAATAGAATGTCCTATATCTAAATCGGGATGGACTGGGACGAGCCAGACCACGGTTTAAGCGTCTACTTTAAATTAGGGAAATCAGACGTAATAGTGCCAGCTGTTTTTTAAAATCCTTTAAGCTACGTTTTTTTTAGGAAAAACCTCGGAAATTAATTTTTCTCCCAAGCCCGCACCGCATGTTAATTGAGATATAGTCCGGACCTATTTTTATTGAGGATCGTGCTGGGTTGACGGGCCGGCCTTGCAATACTATAAATGGAATGCTATTATTCATGATATTAAAGTCCCTTCTACCATCTTTCTTTTATTACCAGATGTTCCGACAACATCCTCTTCTTCCTGATTATTGTCACCTCAACATAACCATAGACCCCTCTTTGGACGGAGGCAAATCGACCCTAGATTTTTTCTCCTTTTTCTTTCCCAGAATTCCACCCTCTGCCCTGACCTCTCACACTACGGCGATCAACGAGAATTTCGAAAGGTTTAGGTATCCAGTTGACACGGGGAGTGTTGGTAATGTGTCGCGCGCTAACGGTTACGTGTACAAGATCCCTTACTACGAGCTACGCTTCCCATCCGATTACAGCTTGGTAGAGTTGGGTGCTGGCAAGCATCTGCAATTTGAATCGTAAATATTTAATTACAGTGTTATCCGCCTAATCCCTTTGACGGCAATAATTTTATTATTAGTTGATAAGAATCTTTCTTTCTTTTATTCCTTCCTTCCTCCCTTCCTTCCTTCCTTCCTTCCTTCCTTCCTTCCTTCCTTCCTTCCTTCCTTCCTTCCTTCCTTCCTTCCTTCCTTCCTTCCTTCCTTCCTTCCTTCCTTCCTTCCTTCCTTCCTTCCTTCCTTCCTTCCTTCCTTCCTTCCTTCCTTCCTTCCTTCCTTCCTTCCTTCCTTCCTTCCTTCCTTCCTTCCTTCCTTCCTTCCTTCCTTCCTTCCTTCCTTCCTTCCTTCCTTCCTTCCTTCCTTCCTTCCTTCCTTCCTTCCTTCCTTCCTTCCTTCCTTCCTTCCTTCCTTCCTTCCTCCCTCCCTTCCTTCCTTCCTTCCTTCCTTCCTTCCTTCCTTCCTTCCTTCCTTCCTTCCTTCCTTCCTTCCTTCCTTCCTTCCTTCCTTCCTTCCTTCCTTCCTTCCCTTCCCTTCCCTTCCCTTCCCTTCCCTTTCTTTCTTTCTTTCTTTCTTTCTTTCTTTCTTTCTTTCTTTCTTTCTTTCTTTCTTCTTTTCTTTCTTTCTTTTTTAATAATCCTATTAATTGTATGAAGGATATTCCAAAATTCATTTTTTTAACAAAAAACATATTCCGCTATTTTAGCATTTTGTTAACTGGGCTCGATTTTTATATATAAAATTCTTTAAAACGATAAAAGGATTTTTTTTATTAGCTTTATAATTTTGTCCAAAAACATTAATTCTTGCAAAATTTGGTATGTTTTGATAATTATACTTTTTTTTAAATATATCACTGATTATTGATAATTTGGTTAAACCAGAATATTTTTTATAATGCTTTAATTTGGATATGAATCAATATTTTGAATAATTTAATATTTTATTTATCAAAAGAATAAATTTTATATTTTTTTTTAATTTAGAAGATAAAAATCAGATTAAAGATGTTAATATTTTTTTATTGACACTTGTATTATATAACTATTATGTTTGTATTATTATTGGATAATATTGTAAGATATTAATCGTGTTAAATAAGATGAAATTTTATTTAATATGATAATATATAAAATAAATATAATATTTTCACTGGTAGCTGGCTCTTTTCCAGTTTATAAAATAATATAACCCTTTTATTTAAAAACAGATATGTGTCACGGTTCTCCGTTACTCGGCCTAACACGGCCCTCTTCTGCACTCTCCTCATCTTCGGCACATTTTTTATCGCCTACTTCCTCAAGGTTTTCCGGAACAGCAAATTTTTTGGCCGGAATGCCAGGCGTGCCTTAGCCGATTTCGGGGTCCCCATCGCGATCTTTACGATGCTGGGTGTCGCTCACCTGGTGGGGCGGAACGTATACACGCCTAAATTGAACGTACCTAACTCCCTCACTCCCACGGCTCCTCATAAAAGGGGTTGGATCATTAGACCCCTTCATGGTGGGGCTACACCACAATGTTTGTCATTATTTCAATTTCGATTTAGAATTTTATAGAAAAGAAAGTTAAAATACGTAAACAAGTTATGGAGATGGTAAAGAGTTAACGTTTTATGTATTTATAATTTATTAATGGGAAAAAGAAGAAATAAATATAACGAATAGAGAATGGAAGTAGTGGCTTTAAAACAAAAATTAGGATCTAATGGTTTGCCTAGAGAAGTAAATTTATCGGTATTTAAGCAAAACAGAGAGTGAAGAAGTTATTTATTATTTTTTTAAAAGAAGGAGAAAGAAATGATGAAATTTTTTTAAAATTGATAGCATCCCTTTATTTCGAACGCGTTTAAGCATTTTTATTACACTCCTACGAATGAATAATTATCCAGAATTTTCTTTGGGAACGATGAAATATACACTCCCAATAAGTACCCTTCGATTTGGGTAGAATTTATCGTGGTTTTGTTTATAAGATATGGAAAATTGATACCCGCCATATACAAAAGCAAACTAATCATCGCGAGACAGATTACAAGGCGTAATTTAAGACTTGATTAATGATGGATGTAATGATCCCCAACTTTTTATTGACAGAGATTAAATGAGAGGATATCATTTTATGAAACGATTTTGTAATGGCAGATATTTAAAAGACCGAATTATAATGGTCCATTTATTCTGGGGGGGGGAGGTCGTGACATTAATCACCTTTGAAAATTTTACTGCTTAGACTTCATAATTACATAAAATTTTTACGAGTATTCAAATATTTCTCTATTAGTGCCCTCGGTGGGAGGTATTAATGCGCCAACGTTTTATAACTTCACGGCCCCCAAAGTGGATCCGTATGCCGTCCCCGCCTATTTATACTCCAACGTTTCCGTACGGTACATTTTTGTAGCCATCTTTCCTGCCCTCATGATTTTCACGCTACTTTTCCTGGAGGGCATGATAACTAGCCATATCGTTAACCGCAAAGACAGAAAGTTCATCAAAGGTGCTGGATACAACATGGATTTGCTCATACTAGGCAACATTATATTTATAATCTTGGATAATGAGAGATTAGTATTGGGGAATGTTCAAATCCACTAGAGTTACTAAGAATTATGATTTTTAAAATAAAGTATGGAATAACCAAAATCTGATAAGGTATGCATATTAAAACTTCAAAAAAATTTAAAAATCTTTAAAGTTTTCTCATACCAAAAATTTTGAGCATAAAATAAATGAAGATCACAGGAAATGATAATTAATTTGTGATTTAAATCATTAAATAAATTTTATACATAAAAATCACAAATGATTTTATTTATAAAAGTTTTTTTTAATAATAAATATTTGAATTTTAGTATTAAAAAAAATTAAATTGTCATTTAAGAAATATTCATAATCTGGGATATTGAGAGATCACTGTAGGGGAATGTTGACTTGACAGCCACTAGAGGTAACTTGGTTTAGTGACTATAAATAATTATGAGTTTTAAAATAAGATATGGAATATCTAAATTATGTATATTAAACCTTCAAATTAAAATTTTGAGAATAAAATATATGAAGATCACCAGAATTGATGATTTTTTTTAAGTATCAAAACAAAAATTTGTGATTTAAATTTTTAAAAAAAATTCTCTAGTATTGATATTAAATCGTTTAAGGGAATATGAAACTCCGCTATCTCTCACCATATCTTAATATATATTAGGAGACCTGCTATGCTCATTTTTTAAGCCCTGTTTCTGAATCTTAAAAAATTTACTCTTTTTTAGCCGAGGCCGGACTTTGATACCCACCCGCAGAAATATACTATTTTACTAAATGTTTAATTAATTTATTTGTTGAATTTCATGTATTTTTTTAAAGGAAGCCTTCCTTTATTGCATTCCTTCCTAGGACTTCCGTTTATAAGCGGGGCGACCGTTAGATCTTTAGCCCACGTATCTAGTCTGACAGTTTATAGTAGAAATCACACCCCAGGGGAGTCTCCCGCGATCATAGGTATATAAGACTTTTTTTCAATTTTAAAACCAAAATTTTGGAAAAGAAAGATTTAAAACCAAATTTTTTCAATCCCCCCAATTTTATGTAAATCAAGAATTTGGAACAATTTTTAATTTATTTAAAACCAAAAAAAATTTATGATTCAAAAAAGTGAGAGTAAATAAATAAAGCCCAGTTCGGTCCATTCTCTTTCTTTCTTTCTTTCTTTCTTTCTTTCTAAAACTTTTAAAATATCATTTCAAAAGCTTATTTATTTAAAATAATAAACCATTTTCATAATTTTTAAATTTTATTTTTTCGAAGGCGTATTGGAGCAAAGAGTAACCGCGTTCTCGGTGGCTCTGTGCATTGGAGTCTCCATATTTTTTAGCACCTTTTTACAGAAAATTCCGATTGCTATACTGTTTGGTATATTTCTTTATTTGGGAATATCGTCCTTAAAGGGTAATTTTATTTTATAGTCATGAGTGCTATTGTCACTATATTAGGGTTATATACATTATAGCTCAACTCAAGGAAATCTCCATTACAACAGCTGATTTATTTAAATTTCTAATTCGTCTTATTTATAATCGTATGACCTGTCAGGTTTTGACAGGTTATTAATCCTAACCCATACCTCTCTAACCTTTTGCTACTCCTAATTTCGGGTACTTGTTTAATTTTAAATATATTTCATCCAAAAAAATTTTCTATCAGTTGAACATTCCTTGGGTTGAGCCATTATCGGGAATATTATACATACAAAATAATGAATATTGCTAAATGCTTATAAATGATCTGCTCTATACTGTCGCGGAGTTTAAGCGTTTCTTTTAATTTTAGCGCTTATTGGGAGATTCACACTTCTCACTCACGAGTAATTTTGATAGGAAATTATGGTTAATTTTTAAGGATAAACTTCGCAGTATAAGTGGGACTTAATTATGTCATAATTTCTGTTTTTATACCCTTTGCAAGATCAATTTTTATATACATTATTTTTTATAGTTGTTGATTTTGAGGTCAAATACAATTTTAAAATGTAGATAATTTAGAATTAGTTCGGAGATTCATAACGAAAACCGCTATTCAGAACCGGTTTCAGAGGGCCTTTTTTACGAGCACGATAAACCGAACCCTTTTTGGGGATTTTGAGTTCCGTTCGGGTCTATGCTAATTTATTTATTTATTTTTAATAAAAAAAACCTAAATTCCTTTTTTAAATTTTAAATTTATTCAAGTATCATATTTATTACTACAAAAAATAGTATTTAAATTTATAATGAATTTTTTTATTATTATTATTATTTAACATAATCATGTCACATAATTGCTATCAGTGGCGCCAACTAGACTTTTAATATTGCCGGGCCTCAATAAAGTCAAAAATTTTTTAAAAATGTATGAATATTTTTGAGAGGAAAAAATTTCTCGGATTCGAAGCCCTGGGTAGCCAGGATTGTGAAACCAAATTCGGGTCAGGAATTTTAAACTTTATTTAGCAGAAATTTTGATGACGGGAAATTTAGTCGAAACAGATTTTCTAAAAGAGGTCCTAATCTACCCCTAGTTTATATTACCCCGGGATTGATTGGTTTGCCCATAAATCGGTCTCTGTTTGAGATCTATGGCCTAAAATGCTCAACCAAACAACATTATCTATCCTTAATTGGTTAAAATTGCATATATTACATACAAAGGTCATGATAACGTATATACTCATTTAAATGTTCCTTTTTAAAAATATTTCCATTTGTAATTAATAATCAATTCCTTGCTATAAAAACTTCTGTTAAAAAAAACCACTTTTCCTTCATTTAGAGAATTTTGGTTTACAAAAGTGTTTTTACAAATTCTAATTATATTAATTGACACTTAAAGATTCGTAGTTTTAAATAATAGCAGGGTGCGTATAGTTACTTTTAAGGGGTTATTCTTATTGGTTCAATTTCGTGTAATCAGCTGATTTTTTAAAATTCCTATTGGCCCCAGACGATAAAATATGAATTTTTTTAAATTTTTTGTTTTATCACAAAGGTGTCCAATTCTTCGACCGTATTCTCATAATATTGATGCCCCTTAAACATTACCCGACTCTAAGTTACGTCCAAAAAACTGGGCTATTCAAACTTCACTTTTACACCCTCATCCAAATCTCGTGCCTGATCGCGCTCTGGGCGGTTAAATCCTCGGTGGCCGCCCAGGCATTTCCTTTTGTCCTCATAATTTACATCCTGATTCGCTTTCAACTCAAGTGGATATACACCCCCGCCGAGTTGTACGAGGTTTATTCGTTTATTAAAATTATGCCTTTTACTTATATTATGTAGTATCTAAAAAAAATATTCTTATTAAGCTAAATGGAGGACTTATAATTTCAATTAGTGATCTACATCGGACCTAATTTTTCAAGCCCGGCCCGAACTCGAAATTTTTTTTAAAAAAGTTTTGCCGGTCCGGCCCGAACCCGAAATATTTTTTAAAAATATTTACCGGCCCGAATTTATTTAAATATAGAAATTAATTTTTATAATTACTAAAAATAAACGACACATGTTATATGTCGTTTAGTTTCAATAAATAAAATCAAATATTTTTATTTTACATAAAAAAATTAATATAAAATTGATAAATTTAGATATATTTTAAAAAAAAATCCAAAGTCTGACCCGACCAGGCCCGAATTTTTTTTAAAAATATTTACGGGCCGGGCCTAACTTTGCAGATCTCTAATTTCAATGTCAAATTTAAAAATTGATTTCTTCAAAAATAGAAATAACGATATATTAAGGGTTGATGGGGTTTAAGATATTAAAGCTTAGATATATATATAATAAACAAACAGGCATAAGTATCTGAACAATGGACCTATTAGAAGCCATTCTAAATTTTGGTTAAAGTTCTAATTAATGTTGAAAAATTATTTTCATATTTTGAAAATGAGATAAAATTGGCAGTATTCTTTTTTAAAAAACATGAAAATTATCACTCTACATTTTCGGTTATTGGAGCCAATAGCAGGATAGATTTGCATAATTAGGATATATTCTTTAAAAAAAAATATTAATTGACATATCGTCGATTGAGTATTATATTGTTCTAAATCTATTTTTTTTTAGATAAATTAATACTTCAGTAGTGTATCCTTTCAAAATAAAAATATATATAATTATTTTTTATCCGCATTGTTATATGTAGTGTTGTTGGCTAGATTTGTGCCGATTTTTAAAAACGACCTAACTCAATATTCTTAGCAAGTAAATTATCTAAGCTTAGAGATCTCGCTAATAGATGTATAAACCTTTGTGCCATATATTCTCAAAATCTTTAGGCTTGCGTAATCACCACTTGAGGCATAAAAAAAACATTTTTTAACTTATGGAAAAATTTTGATGTCCTAAATCAGGTAGAAAACGAAGATTCATTTAATTAATTATATTGTACATTATTTTAAAATATCCAAAAAAAATTCCTAAAAACGTTTCAAAACATAATCAAGTATATTCGCCACGTATTTTCAATACCTAAATCCTCCACTCATAATGATTATTGAAGAGAGGGTATTGGATTTTATAACGAAATATTGAAAACCTTGAATGCTAATTTTAATAACAAAAATATCTTTATAAAATTTAGGAAATGTCTGTTATTATGTCACATCATACCAATGGTTCAGATACACATGTCACAGTTATTTGTCACTTATTTAAACCTACACATCAAATTTAATTAAAAATAATAGGGGAGGGGGGGGGGAGGGCAAGACTTAGTTGATCAAGTTAAACAGCTGCATGGAGGAAGCAACTGTAAAATTTATTTTAATTAAAATTATAATATTCGTTTAACTTATTTCCCTTTATTAAAATACATTCAACAATCAGTTGGATAAGGATGATATGGACGATAATTCTGACGACGAAATTGACGTGAATGAAGAAGTCCACATGCCCATCTAATAAAATAACTTCTTCCGCTCAACATAATTTATTCCTTCCATTATTTTTTTTTACAAATTATTGGACAAAATTTAAAGCTCAAATTATCTACATTGTATTTTTTACCTTACTTTATGCAGATTTATTAAATTGATTTTGAACGGGTTTAATATTATATTAAAATGCAATTATTATGCCATTTATATATATATATTTTTTTAAAAACATATTTTTATAAACGTATTTATCGTTAATCATTGATTTATTTATATCAGATTTGTTAAAAATACATCCCTCTATAAATATTAATTTTTTTTTAAAAATAAAATCAGAATTCATAAATTTCAAGAATGTCAAAATCGTTACTTATGTATTTGGAAATAAATTATAATAGTAGTATAAATATATATATATCAAAGAATAATAATCCAAATATCAACCATATGTTATTGCTTGTTGGGATTTGTTCTTAATGGCATGAAGTTCTGAGAATCGTCTTGTGGTGTATACGAAGTTGCACGTAAATTATATCTAGCATATGTAAGTTTTAAAATAACTTGGAAGCCCTATTAAAATTAGGAGTATTCGGCTTTAGGATTTATTATTTTATTTTCCAGCCCCTCTTGGATTTTTCCATTTTAAGTACCGGATACTGCTATTTGCAGTTCTCCTTTTTAGCAACAAATATTACGAAATCTTTTAATTCATTTTTCTTTATATTTTATTGCTCAGCAATGGCTAATGCATTTTATTATTATTTTTTATACAAAAAATATTTTTATTTAAATAATGCAATACATAAATATATCTGGATACAAAAATGCGATATCTGTATCTAAACACCCTTTTATAGAAGGTAACTATTTATGGGTACTATTTTCGAGGTTAATTACATTTTGATATAATTTTATTTACTCTTTTTGATATCCAAAAATAATAATATTTGAATGATATCAAAAAATAATAATATTTGAATTACTTGATAAAGCTCTTTCGCCTGCTAAACGTTATAAGTACAACAAAGTTTCCGCTAGGTATTTCTCATTTCCATCGGGAAGAAATATGAGAAACCCTTTACATGTTTGTGGGTAAGCCGCACGTACTTGTACGAATAATAGTAAAAGGACTATTATTTAAACGACTGTGGGCTGGTTGAGATTCATTAAATATTATTTCCCGAGTTTATTTCATTATTAAAACAAACCAGACAAATTTTATTTTACGCAATGGGTGACGGCAAAATTTTGAAAATGTTTGATATTTTAAAATCTAACAATTATAAAAATAATTTTTTTTGTATATCTTATTATTAAAATTTAACAATTATTATTAATCATTTAATTAATAAATTATGATAAAATAATACTATACCAATAATTGCCTAAATTCTCATAAATATAACGAGATATTTACAAATGACCAATCCATTTCTTGCCTAATATTTAGAGGATATGTTGGAACGCTTAAATAAATTTACATGAATATTTTTATCCCAATTATTAACAACATGCAACTTCTGTTTGAAGCTGTCACCTTTTTAATAAAATTTTTTCGAGAAAAAGTCTGTACTCCAAACATGACATTTGCACCAATCCTTCCAAATTAATTATGCCAACTATTTAGATTCTCTTAAATTTTTTTTTAATAATTAAACTCAATCTCTTGCTGCATCCTTTGTTTCATCAGCCTTAACCTTAAAACAAAATAGCATCTCGCTTTTGTTATATCTTGTTGAGATTGAGTCAAAAACCATTTCCGTCAAAAATAGATATGACTTCATATCGAATTTTTGGTTTAAGTTGGGATATTTTTTGGAGTGTATGAAAAACATGGCGATTTATTGTAATGGAACTTAACACACACAAAGTAAGCTAGAGGAATAATATAAAAAAAAATACGGATATCGTTTGTTATTTCATTTAATTGAACGAATGAAAATTTCATAACTAATATCTATTTTTTTATATAAGAATTGGATAAGGAAGGGAGGGGCGGGTCGAAAATAATTTAGGACACCATTTTTAGCGGCCATAACAAACTTGGAAACCAAGCTTAGGGACACTAAAATAGAATATTATGGTGGCTTCCCCCCTCCCCCTAACTCCTTTAAGGTAATGTTTATTATTAAAAAAAAATATTTTGATTCCAAAAAATTAAAACATTTATATTAATAATGGTTACATAAATTAAATATTAATGTATTTTATACATATTAATATATATCATAAATATTAATGTATTTTTTACATAATAAAGTATTTTATAACTATGATAGAATCGCGAAATATAATTTCCTTATCTCGTTCCGCTACCTATATTATAAAAAATTGGCTGTAGCGAGGCATATGAAACTAAACAAAACGATTAATTCATGATCAAAGAATCTCGTCGGCGTCCAGGTCTAAGGATAAATGAAATATTTATACTATACAATAATTAATTCTTGACAATATTTATTATTACAATAATTAGAATTTTTTAAAAGTTTAATTTTTTCTCGAATAAATTAAAACACAAAATTGTTTTAAAAATAAATGATATGTATTAAATGTATTATGATTAGTGTTGCAATGTCTATCTCTGCATTTTCTGACAATGGGACACCTTTTTTTTCTTTATCATATATGGTAGCTTATTTTATTTTAAATAAAAACCTATTTATTCTAATAACTAGTGTCTTAAAAATTAATCGAAAGTATATAATAATAACTAGTTAAGATTAATAAATTACTTTGTCCAAAACTTAAGTAGTTATAGTATAACTCACATGATTTGAAATGTAACTGGTAGAAGATACTCAAATATTTTGCAAAATATACTCTTTTATTATATGACTTTGCAAGTAGTGTAAGTTTGCTAAAAACTACAACTTAGTCGATTTTCGAAAAAAAAAACGATGGATAAATCTAGGTTTTGGCCAAACAAATATTATCTGAGTCTCGATATTTTGCCAAATGATGAGAAAGAGGTTTGGTTTTATTTTCCTATTGGCTACTCACCAATGAGACAGTTATAATTCGATAAATATTTCAAGGAGGTAAGCTTAAAATCAAATATGTTATATATAGAATCGTATTGATTTCCAATTTATAATATTAATAGCCTTTTTTTTTTAATTTTAGGAAAAATATAAATTTATTTAAATCTTTTATACCTCGTGTATTATTATTTTATCTTAAGAAAATTTAAAGTATATTTCTCTTACATTCTTTCTTAAAACCTTAAAGACTGATAGATATAAGAAGATTTTATCAAGCAAAAATAATTCAGGCAAAATTAATAGTGTATAAAAATGCTCAGTTATTCATAAAGACAGAATTTTCCGAATAGAACTATTTCTAAGACTTCTTGTGTTACAAGAAAAAATAAAACTGTAAGAAGCATACCCGACAAGATAGTGCTTTAGATATCAAGCTGTTAATTTTTTTATCTAAAGGTTAAGTGTTCCTATCAAAATATCGGAATAGCCTGAACCTAGATATTTTACCTGAAGAGGATACATTTTATGATTCAATATGGCTGCTGATTTTTGCATTGTTATTTAAATATAAGAATTTTATGCAATTATTACAGAGATTAATGTAGACCATGAATTTCACAAGATTTATGTGATTAATGAGACAAGTTAAATTTTACCTCAACTTGCACCTAGACAAACATCATTCCAATAATAAGGTGGACTTAATTTAGGATTTACTATAAAATGACGGTTTTTATTTCATTTTTGGATACATTTATTACTCAGACCAATGAACGATTTGCAATTTTGTCAATTGGCTCAAACCAAATTAACAAATACTTTTACCTATTCTATTGAGTATATTAAATCTTGAAATTGGGAAAAATAAATATAGTAAAAATTTTTTTCAGAGGCTATAAATGTCTCTAAAGGTGAATTAATTCCAGCATTTAAATCTTAATTTTGGTAGATAATCCTCCAAGATATGCCATGAAAGCATGCGTACTTTAAAATATGAATTTTTTTTCCAAATATATTTAAAATTACTTTATATTTTGGCAAAAATTCTAATTAGTATATACAAGCACGAATGGGAGGACCTTTTCTTCATTATGGAGAATAAAAACTTATGTCAGAAGTTGCGACATCAGAAAATTGATTTGAATGGAATAGATTTATTTAACATACATCGAGATTCAAATCCCCAGTGCTGAACATTGAAGTATTGGCACAATCTCAAAGAAGATTAAATTTCAATTTATGAACGATTATAACTTTTTAAATAATCATAATAAAGTTTAATTCTATAATTATATCGTTATATACACTCCGGTTCATGTGGCTATAATGTTTATTTTTTTAAAGATTATTTTTGCCCTAGAATATTTTTCCGATTATTTTATTATTTGTTTTCGAAATTGTCATTTTTTAAAAAAATATGTATGGTATGATTATAGTAAGTAAATTTTATATAAATGATTAAGTTCTAAATAATATAATTTTGATAATTTTAAAACTTAAAATATCCGTTAATAAAAAAAATTAGGAAATAAAATTTATTTATATTTTTTTTTAAAAATTATAAATTTTCCATTATATTCATGGCCTACTGATCCCATGATCGCGGGTTCGAATCCCGCGAATGGTCATGTTTTTTTTCTTAATCTAACTTGGTGGTTCCATCCTTGGGGGGATGATATATAGAAGGCCGGACTCGACCACGTGATTCCGTTATAATATATTAAATAATAGGGGTCTTATTACATTTTAATAAATTTTGGTCGGTATTTAGCAAATTAGGTTGGTATTTAGAATATTTCCATTCATTCACTTGGTAGTAAGCATCATTCATTAACCTAAAACATAACAAATATAAGAAGAAGAAGAAAAAAAACTATATAAAGAGTGTAGTGTTGTTAAACGGCTTATTTTGAGCCGATTTTTAAAAATGGCTAACTCGATATTTTATATTGGTAAAAATATTACGCGAACCTTAAGATTTTGCTGATAAGTGGCATAACGGTTTCAACATCTATTAGGCCGCATTCATAGTGGATCCGATCCGACACGATTTAACAGCTGATCGATTTTTAAAATATGTTTATGAGATCAATTTTTTTTTTTTAAATAACATTAATTTTATCTTTAATTCTATACATGGATAATAACCTAAGAAATATTGGTTTTAATAAAGAAAATTTGATTCTCGTAAACCGATTTTAAAAATCGACCAGCTGTTAAATCGTGTCGGGAGTTAGCCGCTTTTAAAAATCGGCTCAAATCGAACCGCTTAACATAAAAAAATATATTTAAAATTTTTTAATGTAGGTATAGGGTTCAAATTTATAGGTTATTATCCCAAAAAACATATCATACACCTTCGCCTTTTCTAAATTATTACCCATTAAAAAACCCAGTGAGTAGTTGTAACTTCTTTTTATATATTATAATATATATTTTTTTTTATAATCCACTTTAACATTTT